GACGTGTAACGCCATGCGTTATTCATTATCGCATTATGCGTGGAATACAAGCGCGTGAGACACATAATTCTCACCGCCGCGGCCAAAGAGGTGCGTGTAGATCAGGTCGCGCGAGTGAACGATGCCAACGGGCAGAGTTATTTGCCTGGGGAGAAGTTTGGCTCTTTCTCATTTCCACCTAGAAGGCGTTCCCAAGTATGATATCAATAAAAAAATTTACCTAATGAACTTTGCTATTAAAATAAATTGCCGAAAAACTCGTGGACCAAGAGTTCCCATTATGGTCATTTGAATTTTAAGGGATAGACCTCTTCGCTAACTTTTGTTGACCGTCTGGAGTGTTTAATTGGCCTCATTTGGTAGAGCGGGACCGCAATTTCGTCCAATCGAACGTTGATCGTACAAACAATTCGTTGGGTGGACAGGGCGTGGACAGGGTCACGGAAAAGACAGTGCGTGCGAACGATCGCATGATGTAAAATGGTCTGCAAATTGGCGATTTTGCGTGAGAGGAACGCCAACTGCGTCTGAAATTAAATATCCGGAACATTACACCGGTAACACGATAAGCGCACACGGGGCGGTTTCGCTTGCCGTATCAAAAAACCTATGTATAAATTATACCTTTATCGCTCGCGTTCTATATTTCGAGCAAGCAGTCGTCTTGTCGTCCATAATTGGAAATAAAATGGCCAAGTGCACGGCAAAACGTTTAAAACTCGAGAGCTTGACTTAAAAATCCAAGAATTTGAGAGAATACACAAAGATTTTGTTTTTCTAGGAATTAAAATAGTTATTTTCAATTTCACGCAGTGAAGTTTTTTTTTTTAAATGCAAGCACGAAAAAAACTCGGACTCTAAAAATATACGAACGTAACCCTAATCGTCCACTTCTAATTCCATCGACGTTGCATCATCTTCTCTTAAGAGAGGTCACGATTTCTCGGTTTCACGTATCATCTTATCCACGCAATGAGTAATAATAATTTCATAAATATTTCGGTATGTCTCTCGCAAAGTAATATTGTTACTTATTTTCCTATCGATTCCTGCGTTGATCATTTGATCAAAAGACAGGTTTGAAATTTGTACTTTGATAGACGAAACAGTATCGATTCAAACTGTCAACACTGTCAAATCTCTCTCTCTCTCTCTCTCTCGATTACGCTTTCAAATTTCTTCAATATTTAAAATTTATCTCCAGTGAATTCTAGACGTGTTAATATTGCGTTATTTAACTTTTAAATAATAATATTTAATTAACAATTCGTCATAAAATTCGCTATGTTGTCAATTAATACAATTAACCAATAAAACTCTCATCTGGCAACTACTAATTAATCAAGTGGTATCATCTCTTGGAAATGTGAGACAAATTTCAGTTAGCCATGCTGACTAATAACGACAAATCGCTCATGGATGACAGCCGCGAGCAAGTCTCTTCGCAGCTATGCAAGGAGCACTATTTGCTCTTATTGGAGTTGTACGTGAAACAGGCGTCGGGCGACCGCCTGGCTAAACTGAATCAAATGTTCTTTGTACCTACCAGCGTTCACTTTGGATTTCTCGACTTTGTAAACGAGAACGACTTAAAGATCACTCCGGTAGATCCTCTTTTCCAATCTGCGGTTAGGACGATCGATGACGTCGAGGTCTTCAACGTCGGGAAATCGGTATTGTTCGCCGTCGATTCCGAGGCGATGATGAACCGCGCCGTAAAAATGATACTGAAGATCACGGCGAAAAAGCAGATGCCGGACGCCATCAAGCCGGATGTCGTGGTGGGTGCCGGCGAGCTGGATCTGTCCGGTCAGTACGCTGCTTTGCGAATAGAGATGATACAAGATTGGAAAAGTGGCATCGCAACGTCCAAGGAGTTTGATGGTGAAGTACCGTTGATTTACAATGGCAACTTATCCTGCAATCTGGATATTTTTGTGAGGATGTCTGGCTTCGGGCAGATGATCGTCACGGAGTTTGATGACCCAGTCGCGCGAGACTCTTCAACGTTCGTCTTTGGCACTGAAGAGACCGATCGGGTCTTATTATACAAGTGTCGCGAGGTGGATTCCCGCATCGATCTCTTCGAAGATTCCAGTGGAGATCTTCAAAGTCCGATAACTTGTCCCGTGTGTATGCCGGAGAGGTATCCTTGTGTACCATGTGGGAAATTAGGGGCCGTCGAGGAAGGAGATCGAGACGTGAGAAGGAAAGAAGACGATAGGATTATAGAAAGGAGATTAAAAGATATAGTATGTACTTGAGAAAGGAATAACTTTTCGATCTCGGCATCTAAGTTCAGTTCTGATTTTTTTTTCAGCCGATAAAGAGCTTTGACCAGGACAAACGCGATACATCTCAGCTTTGCGGCAAACCGGTGGTTCTCAAAGTGTCCGGTCTCTTTGAGAACGGCGATGGCATTGGCAAAAAGAAACCGACAGTGACGGTTGCTTCAGAATCCGTCGCGACGAAACCAGGCGATCCATCCGATCCCGACTACGATATTTTCGTTCTGAGAATCGGCAAGAAAGGCCTCGTTGGCGTCGGCGAGAAATCTGACATACAACTGGAGATGAAAACCCCGAAAGGACCTGAGAGAAGACCTCCGATTAGATACGAAACCAGAGATGTGCAGACAGAGGAACGCGACGATGACAAAGAGAAAATAATAACGCCAAAAGAGAAAAAGAAGATTAAGAAGAAAAAATGATATTTTATTATTTAAATTTAAAATGAACTATATAATTTTTTTCTAAAGGATTTATTTTACAGTGATATTTCTAATTGTTGATTTTCACGTATAATTGTTATGTTATGTAATGAATAATGCGTCTACTCAATATCATTTAAATTTATGCTAAATATTCTACATAAACATAATGGCGTGTTATCCTCGCGTGTAAAATGTTGTAAATTATACAAAAAAATAGATAAATCATGTCCAAATAAATTATTTTCTGCACTTATGTTGTGTTTTTTTAATATCGAGAACATAGCTCTTGAAATTTGCATTTGTACTTTACTTCAGTATAATAGTCAACCTCAAATTTTTCATCGTCTATGACAATTAAAATTAACTCAAGTGATATATACAATAACAATAAAAAAATAAAAATTGCTAGAGTGTAAATTATAATCAATGATAAAATTATTGCCTACTATTACAGAGACTAACTATAATAATATAAACTAAATTTAACATATGTGACGACATATTAATCGCAACCTGTTTGTTAAATTATACGAGAATATATGAGAGAAAACGAAACTAATGGAAAGAAATCAATTGATTTTGATAGAATTATTAGTTGATACAGTGAATATTCCTACCATACGAGCAATACACGATGAGATATTGCCGGTCAAAACATGTGTTTCGTTTCAAGTAAGAACTGTATACACTTATTAACCTATTTATTAACTCAGTATGATTGACTATAATAATCATCGTAGATATTAAACCTGCCTCCCATCAATATTTATCAAGAAGCACCAACGGAAGCTTGCGCCTGTATCCCTAATGGACCGCAAGTCTTCAAGAAGGGCAAGTCCTGCCTATTCGCCCTTCCGGACAGTGTTCTACAGAAACCATTGTGCAACTTTCCTATGGTAATGTCTGTTTATAAAGAACTGCCGCCAGGACTCCTGCCGGATGTGATACTAATTGGTTCGTCAATTTTATTATTTCTTTTTTCTTCAACACTGCGTTATCAGATTCTACATAGATTCGGGAGATTGGTATTTTATAAAGATACATTATATTCAACATAGGCACTCATCGAATTCAACTTCACGGTTTCATGAACTCTCTACTCGGTATGCAGAACTCTCAGGACAGTAAGCCGTGCAAAACGATGAAGAACGCTTTTAAAATTACCACGGCGACGGGACAATACGTGGGCGAAGTCACGGTCTTTATTCGTGTCTCGTGCTTTGGCAAGAAGATCGTCACGCAGTTTCAGCTTCCTCACAATAAGAAACCCTATCTCTTCAAGGGCGTCGACGACGGTCCCGTATACCAATGCAAAAGGGTCACTTCCGCTCTGCATACACGACAGATAAACTGCGTGTGTCCTGGCAAGAAAGTTGGTGATGGCAGCGGAGAAGCGATCGCTAGAAGAACTCGTTGTTGCGTTAGCGCCGATGAGCGAAGAAGACAATTAGGGGATATCAAAAGAGATAAATGTCCACCGTGTTGTCGCGGTACGCGGGATATTTCCAGGAGCAGAGAAACCGTCAGAAAATGTGGCTGCGTCGTTAAGGAAGAACAGACTTACAATTGCACTAAGACAAGCATCAAACATTCAACATGAATGGAGAAGGGCAGGATGCTTTTTTGTAGGTCAACAGATAAACAATTCAGAGATGAAAATATTTAACAGCGAAGGTTCTCAGCCAGTCAATCGACAACCGTCGCATCGTTTAGATCCTCGTCCGATATCCACGCGCGCTCCTGCGTATTTAAATCTCCATTTATTCCTGTCCAACGTCGCGGGGGGCGCCGTGATGGAGCCAAAGGGATGCGACTGCAGGAGGAAGGGAGGCCCGGTCGACGACACCGCCGCTCTCATCCCCGCCAACCCCTTACCTCGCTACGGGGTGCTAGGCCGATATTGTCGCGTCTGCGCGATGAACAACATAGAAGACAGTCGGGCTAGTCGGACTCCGCGACAGAGACGTGCCGTCGCGGCACGTCGGGACGCGGCATTAACCCCCTCGCCGATCTCGGTGGAGGCGCCTGGTCGAGGTTGTTGATGGCATCTCAGCGGCGACAGCGACCCGGGTGCTCACCACGGACGTCTTCGCACGGCCATGAACAGCTCGCCGCAGAACACAAGCACCGCCGGCACCGGGCAGCGACGGACGGCCGGCGTCGATAACAGCGACGAGGAGGAATGGAGCGGCGTCGTCGAATGTGTAATTACCCTCGAGTTGCTTCTGTCTGATCTCATCCCGCAATTCTAACAAAAAAAAAAAAAAAAAAAAAAAAAAAAATTATATCAAAACGATCTGATTAAATGTTTTTATTTGATTTTTAAATTGTTATTATTTGCACGATATTATCTGTATTTTCTTGCTATTTATCATTTTCACATAGAGCTTGCGAAGATTTTATTTTATCAACTGAGGTAACTAGCGCAATTACTGTTGCTCTTCTTTTTATCATATTTACTATACTTGCATAAATAGATTAATACGCATAATAGATTACGATCTTAGTATTAAGTATCTCCTTACCCCTCTGTAGGCTGTCCTTGAGAGAACCAAATCCGATAGAGTTGCACGTGCTGACGAAGACCGACGTCGCCGGACCATCATCGTTGAGAAGAAGAACGGCACGTACGGTTTCACGTTACAGGTAATGCTGATTTGTTACTAGACTACATAATAAATATGATATTTCGAGCTCCTTTGTAGAATCTGCGGCTGCTATTAAAAAACATTCGCATAATTTAGATAATTTAAAATTCTACAAATCCAAACCAATTGAATTTTCTTTACTGTCTTGATCATTAGTAATTTGATCTCGATTGAATCAACAGAGTTATGGTATACACTACAAAAGAGAACAGGAGATAGAGATGGTAACTTACGTTGATTATGTGGAATATGATGGACCAGCGTTTAAAGCTGGTATGCGGGAGGGTGACGTGATACTCTCTATAAACGGTCACGAGATGGACAGGGCGGATCACAAGACTCTAGTAAACTTTATCAAGAACTGTGATACCAGAATGCGGATGGTCGTGTCCTTCGAAGATTGCGTCAGGAAGGTAAGCGAAAGGCTGAACGTCATCGACAATGTTGGGATTTCAAATATGTTACTTTCTGATCTAATAACGACTGAATGACAAACTGAATTTTGGTACGACTAAATGCTACCCTACGATTACAGGTGGAATTACACATGCGTTACATCGAATTGCAACGCGCTCTTCAATCTCGTATAAGCGAACTGGAGAGACTGTGCGAAAGAGAACGGTCTATTTTGATGGGACGATGGAAAACCCATTCACTGCCAGCGCGGAAAAGAACGCCTAATAGTATTGTCGGCACCAATCCTAATCAACCATCACCCTCCTCCAGCTTCAACTCTTCTACGATTCAATGCTGCCGGCCAGCAACCTCCACCGAACATCTTCTACTTTATAACGTGGTAGCCGCTATTTACGTCTGTTTAATCGAAATAACGAAATTATACGTATATAACAAAATTCAGAAAATTCTATAATAATTTTCGTAACGTATCGCGTCATTATTTTCGCGGTTATTCGGTTAACATTTCCTACATTTGTACGATTCAAATAATCTGAACGCGGATATATATTTTTTTAGTTTGCGGACGGGCGACCCTGTCTTATACCACGCAGCGCCGCTTGTCTTGTGACAGTCGGACCGCCTCGTTCCCGCAGTGATCATCATCACTTTCTCTCTAAAATGTCAAGCGAATCCGCGATGACCTCCTTACGTCACAGTTATCACCAGGCGAACGGTATGATGGGCACACCTGCGAAAAGCAAATCTCACAAACAATCCTGTCAGCAGCAACAACAGCAATCGTCCGTTGCTGGTGAAGGACCATCATTACACTCCGCTCCTCAAAACAATCTTTGCGTCGCTTGTATCTCCAGCGCGAATCGTCGCCGAGAGCAATCCGACAGCGTTAGTTTAGATGCTTATGATCTCGCCAGTCCATGCTGTGACCCGAATTGCGTGCCAAGTCGTCGACGTCGCGAAAAACAACGACGCGCCCGCAACGAGCAGGCTCTCCATCAACAGCAACAGCAGCAGCAGCAGCAGCAGCAGCAGCAGCAGCAGGCTAACATGCAGCAGCAGCAGCAGCAGGCTAACATGCAGCAGCATCATCACGTTCAAGGACAACGAGACCAACAGCAACAATCGCAGCAGCAGCAGCAGCAACCCAACACTCACAGCTGCCCTCGCACGTCCGGCCACAGTCTTCATTCGATTACGAGTAGCGACGTCTCGACGACGGCCGACAGCGTCGCGTCCTGCTCCACCAGCCTCAGCACCGACACCCTGTATTGGGACCCGAGTGTGCACCAGCGACCGCCGCCGTGCCTTCAGTACGCTAAGCCTAAATCCTGGGATAATCTTACCACCAAGGCCTTCGGAGGTTACGGCTTCGGTTACGGTTATCTGGACACCGCGAACGTCAAAACCCACAGCGCGGAACGTCCCAATAAAGGATCACACAGCAGTGGCGGCGGTGGTACAGGTAGATCAAAGACGCCAGTCGGCATTATACAACGAAAGAGCAGCGGTGCCAGCAGCAGTACCGCTTACACTACCGCGACAAGTTCAACGGTCAGCCGACACTTCCAGCCGACGAAATCGACGGAGAGCTTGCTGATACTGCCGGGACCGTACCAGGGCGATCTCGACCAGGCCAGTCTGAGCTGCGAGTGTCTGGACGGCGGTGGCGGCGGACCCGGCTCGCGATTCGTTCAGTTGGAGAAGCATAAACGCGCCGACGAAACGGCGGGATACATCCCGTCTTCTCACGCGCAAGTCAGACACCGACGGTCTAGTCATTCCGATGGGAAACTACGGGCTATCAATAACTCCGAAGTCACGCGATTGTAATATCCTTTAAGTATATCTCAAGTCAAGCTACGTGCTAATAAAGCGTCAATATATAAATATTGCTTGCGTTTTATTTCGCTAACCGGATGGATGGAATTGGGAATCATGAAAACGAGTGGTACGTTTGCCAAGCGTTTGTCGTGAAAATCTTGGGACCTAAATGATTTATAATCTTTAAGCTATTCGCTCGTTCCTACGTTTTTAAATCTTTATATCTTCAGGTCGGAGTTACAGATACTTTACACGCTTTACATCGCTGCACGAGCGCGTCGTTTCTTCTCCACGTCGCCATATAAACCGCTGAGTTTTGTCTAAATCGCTTTCACTTTGTGCTAAAAATTCATATTACCTACCGTCAATCAATCTAATATGTATTCAGGCATCTCTATCAAACTGCATTTTTCGTTAAAAAGATTATTAAACTTAAGATTATTTCGAACATATAGTTGCTAGTCGTTCATGTAATAAGCATTCATTTAATGAAACATTTAAATAAACGGTTTCTTTGGCTAAAGTTCATCGGTATAATATTTCAACGCACACATGAAAGCAAAAGTCTCGGTTCAATAAATACTGTTATTTCAACATACGTTGTAGTAAAACGTTCTATAACTCAACATATCTGTGTTTAACTCAAAAATGACCGTTAACAATGCGCGCTGTTAAACTTTGGCCATTTAGTTCATATACAGATATTACAAAGTGTATAATCTCTTGGATTGTGTATACATACACATACATGTATCCTCTTTTTATATACATATACACGTACACAAACATAAACGCACTTGCGCGCGCATACATAGACGGTATGCCCGATCGATTCGCCCAATTCTCTTCATATCACTCCTATGCATATTTGTGTGTGTATGTGTTTATCTACATGCTGGTTCACAGTGTGCAACAAGTATGTACACAACTTAGCGCGTATGTATATTCCCGTGAATAATCACATGTTTGTACATATGCACCGGATATTGCAAAGTTGACCGTCGAGTCAAAAAATAAATTATGTCGTTACTTCCCCTCCTTTTCCTCTAAATATCCAAGCTCTTTGTCACAGATCTCTTCTATCGAAAAGCTTAGTGAGCGGATGGCTCAACTGCGTATTCTACAATGCATACTGTACAACAAAAAGTGCAGGAATCGCTTTTCCTTTACGGATTTTGACACTTGTCAAATCTTCACTTGGAAATGAGCCTTACTGAGGAGTCTTGAATTTTCGTACTCTAGCTTATTTTCAAAAGCAGTTAATAGGATGTTTTTACAGATTCTTCGGCTTTACAATTTCCAAATTTTCGCAAGATCTCTTGATTTTCAAGTCTCTACCTTCGACCTTTAGATCGTGAATCTCTGAGTCTCTATATCCTTGGAGTCTAGAATACATCGCGTATCTTTGGGTCTTCATATTTCACAGATTCTAGAATCTTTGCTAAATTACTCATGGATTATATCAAATCTAGAATCATTTAGAATTCTAGGTTTCTGTCACTAAATCCTCGACTTTGTCTAATTTACAGGATTATAGGAAAGACGTGGGCTAGCTGTCTAAATTGCCGCTTACATGCAACTGCAGCTTCCGTAGACGAGGAAATTGTTTCGTTTTAAGATCATCGAAGCACCTTGGATTCGTTTCTCATACGGGAGTAGAGCAGATAGGACTAAGGAAAGGCCTGCCTCGATGTCCTCTAGAAGAAACATCGGGCTGCAGAAGACACTTTCAAATGGCCTTCTTGGAACTTTCGTTACTCCCAGCAAACAAATGCGCATATTCCGTCCGGCTCGATAGTTGTGTCAGAACATCATCTGGAAGAAATAAACAAGTTTAAACAAAAGATTCTCAATTAAGGCGCCCATTTTCACTGGTTCTCTCACAATAAGCATCAGCTTATAAATGTCAGAAGTGAAAAGTCACGTTTTTTTTTTTAATTCTAAAAGCAATAAATTATTTTTTTTTCGTGTCACTATTTGAATTTAATATAAATTTTCACAATACACAAAGAATATTTTATTTATATTGTAATAAATCTGTACAACTATATTTTTTTGTACAATATACAGTTCTCTATTCTGACGTTCAATATAGCCGTGATAAAGAAACAGGAGCCTTAATCATTGGAAGAAAATAAATCTCTCGAACAAAAGTGTTTACCGAAGCTGACTGTGTAAGCGTTCTCGTCGTTTCTGGCCTGCTGAAAGATCCTGTCGGATTCCTCTGGTTGCATGCGTAACGATAACCTCAAGGCTTTCCTGAGCTCCGACTGCGTCAAACACGTTGCTGTTTTCGAGCCGCATATCTATAACACAATGTGATTGCGTAAAAATAAAAGTTTACACGCTATATGCACGATAGAATTAAACTTAAACAGTTTGCATACTTACATCGAATGCAATCTCGACCTTGTCTAGTTCTGAAGACGCGTTCGCCGTCGCCAAGACGGTGAAGATATACTCCTCGAGATCGATTTTTCCTTGCCCGAACTACAAAGTAAAATATTTTCCATGAAATTAATTCATACGCGCATGTACAATAGTTCAATTTCATTGTATATATATATAAGTACCTTGTCGTGAATGCGAAATAATTGTTGGGTGGTTGGATCCTTGTCGTCCAATCTAAGGATCTGTGCGAATTCCTGCAGATTCACCTCGCCAAAATTATTCGTCTTCTTCTGGACGAGTTCTTCCTCAGTTTTCGATGCCACTAAACTATGATAGATGAAGTACAAGTCGTTTCAATACTAATCGATTAAGTACGTAACATGTATACAACGTTTAAACTACTGTTCGCCACCTACCCTAATTTGTACCGAAGCTTATGGCTTTTTACGATATTGGACGCATGTGGAAGATGTAACTGATGGGCCTTTCTAATGATCCGGCAATCGTCATACGTATAATCCGAAACGGGAATCTTCAATGCTCTGTAAAGTCAAGGAGATTACCGTTTACTGATCCAGACTCCTAATCCGCTACGTGAATGAAAAACTCACTCCGCCATAAGACGTCGTACGTTGTTTGCGTACAGCTTGGGGTCCAGTTTTTCCGCCTCGCTCGGATTATAGACGGGAAGAAACTCGATCTCGCAGCTGCTGTTTAACTGCGTCAACGTCAACCATAGCAATTTCAATCTGCAACAGATGTAACGCAACGGATAGATGCATACCGCAAAAAATAAAGGCGTAGGAATAAAAAAAGGAAAAAGAAGAAGAAAAAGAGAAGAGGATGGCTCTATACTTACGCGCCAGGGCCTTCCCATGTCCACGTAACCGTGTCCAATTTGTTGGGATATCTGATACACACCGGCTGCACCGGTACCCCGGGATAAAACGCGCCCGACTTGAACGTGATCAAGCACGACCGGTTTGTGCAGGTCCCTTCGGGAAATATCATAACCTGTGGAGAGAACGGCGTCGGGTCAATTGCATCAGGAGACGCGAAGATATGCGATATGCGTCTCGATCGCAAGCTCGTGTGTGTATCTCACACTCCCGTAAATTATTCAACAGCATTATAAAAGTCTACAACTTCCGCAAACTTTGCGAAACTGCGGCTTTATAAACTTCATAAAGTTCGTATAGCACTGACTTTTAATCATAACGTCAATAGTCTTCAGGGGAAGAATATAGAAGCTCGGAAGGGAGGCAATATCGCACGAATATAAGTCCTATTTAAACTTTATTTTCCGAGTTGCAATATATTAAAGACTTGTCTACCTTCTGTTGTAACAAAACACACACACACACACACACACACATGCTGCGGCACATCTTTAGATAATAACGTCTATTACTAAATATCAGGCCACAACATGACGCGGCATGCACGTTAATTCTATTTATATGTATTCTATGTATATACTTATAAACTCTCTCTCTCTCTC